GGTTGACCCTCTGTTCGCAGATATTAATGTAAAGCCTGTATTGCTTGACATTTGACTTTTCGTTTTCAGGGCACATCACCCAAATAAAATGCCTTGCTTTAGTAACTCACTTGCTGTATTACACGCTGCCACGACCACGGGACTATATACTAATGCGGCACTTCATAAAAGTCAGTTGTAACCCAGTGCTTTTGTTTGTTTCTTCCGGGCAACCTTCTAGAAGCCTGTGTGGTGGGGTTTTCAATAAACCTAAACATTGAGCAATGGTGAGCAAACGCAGAAATTTCTATAATGCTATTGTGCAATGGAATTGTTTCAGTTCTGTCAACTGCTTTACACAAAGAAGTACAGCGACACGTTCAGACTGCCCCTCTCCATCCTTTTCTGTTTTTTCGGATATTGTGCAGGCTGTACTATGGTTGGCATGCGACCCTAAATAGGCCCGTTAAAGTGTCATTGCAAAGATAGTAATTGATGAAGTTTATGCACTGCACATTGAGAATAAGCAAAGGCTAAATAGTTGCTTACAAACAGATAAACACACAAACGCACACACACTAATGTTTTAGCATCTTTTGAGTGAACCACTTTGTCATTGTTAAGACGAGGACGACCTATTGCGAGAAATAATCTGCATTTAAACTTACCTATACATGAAGAATGCCTTCTCGGCAAAAAAGCGCAGTGAAATTCGCGATAGCCGAACTTTATTCTTATCGTAGCCAAACGGGATGTTCCCCATATGTGCACTGTACAACATCTGGCGATAGCACTACTGGACACTGAAACTTAAAAAACTTATGAAAGTTTCGCTGTCCAATAAGTTGTAAACGTTGAACACATGGAAAAGTTAGGTGTTCTTGCGGTTTGAGCAGTGTGGTATAACTGACGGTCTAGTTACTAATAGTTGAGCATTTAGGCATAGAAATCAACTTTACGAAGAGTATAGTCACAACGTTAGGGTTTCAAAGTTATTGAAAACAGCGGCACTTTCTTTGGCCATTGGAACCAGCTGGTGAAGCGTTTTTGCAGAGTTTCCATTCTTTCGGAATGCAAAATGAAATAACTGATATATGTGGATACTTTCCACACACATGTAAATGAATCCAGCATACGATGGGGCATGGCAACGATGGTAGCCCCTCGACAAAAATTCCCCTTATTTCGTTCATATTGCCACAAGCTCTTTTTTTCTTCTCTTAAGTGTGGAACACTTTGGCTGCCCGGTGTGTCGTATGACCTCGTCATTTCATGTATCTTGGCTACTGGCAGAACTACGTATAGATAACTATCTGTGGCATATCGAGTGAGCCAAGGAGAAGTATTTCAGCTTTTGTTAGACGAACGCTTTGATGATGATATCAGGTGCGGAGCCCTTTGAGGGCCCCAGCTGTCGTACGCCATCGTCGCCTCGTGCAGTTTGGTGTTCTGCTGGCAGAACTACGTATAGCACAGCTATCTGTGGCGTATCGAGTGAGCCAAGGAGAAGTATTTCGAATCTTGTTCGATGAGCGCCTTGATGATGACATCAAGTGCGGATCCCTTTGAGGGCCCCGGCTGTCGTATGCCATCGTCGCCTCATGCAGCTTGGTGTACTGCTGGCAGAACTACGTTAGCATAGCCATCTGTGGCATATCGAGTGAGCCAAGAAAACGTATTTCAGCTCTTGTTCGACGAGCACCTTGATGATGTTTTCAAGTGCGGAGCCCTTTGAAGACCTAGTCTGTCGTATGCACTCGTCGTCTTATGTAGCTTATCTGCTGGCAGAACTACGTTAACATAGCCATCTGTGGCATATCGAGTGAGCCAAGAAAAAGTATTTCGGCTCTTCTTCGATGAGCGCCTTGATGATGATATCAATTGTAGAGCCGTTTGAGGGTCCCAGCTGTCGTACGCCATCGTCGCCTCATGCAGCTTGGTGTACTGCTGGCAGAACTACGTATAGCACAGCTATCTGTGGCGTATCGAGTGAGCCAAGGAGAAGTATTTCGAATCTTGTTCGATGAGCGCCTTGATGATGACATCAAGTGCGGATTCCTTTGAGGGCCCCGGCTGTCGTATGCCATCGTCGCCTCATGCAGCTTGGTGTACTGCTGGCAGAACTACGTTAGCATAGCCATCTGTGGCATATCGAGTGAGCCAAGAAAACGTATTTCAGCTCTTGTTCGACGAGCACCTTGATGATGTTTTCAAGTGCGGAGCCCTTTGAAGGCCTAGTCTGTCGTATGCACTCGTCGTCTTATGTAGCTTATCTGCTGGCAGAACTACGTTAACATAGCCATCTGTGGCATATCGAGTGAGCCAAGAAAAAGTATTTCGGCTCTTCTTCGATGAACGCCTTGATGATGATATCAATTGTAGAGCCGTTTGAGGGTCCCAGCTGTCGTACGCCATCGTCGTCTCATGCAGCTTGGTGTACTGCTGGCAGAACTGCGTATAGCATAGCCATCTGTGACATATCTATGTCCACCGGTGAGTGCACGACGCTTCGCTAAAACTGTAGAGTACTAGCTAAAAGCAGCTACGTCGCAGAAAACTTAAAAAAAAAAACGACAAGCCCCGGTCATTCTGGACGTTAAGTGCACATTATATTGGACAGGTTAAAGAAGACTGGTTGGGTTGCTAACGTTCAGGTGTTTTTCTCCGCACTTGAGTGGTTACTTCTCAGTCGAGTGAACACGTCTCTGCTTCTCGTTCTGTTGCATATAGGTCACGCTATGTCCACTGTGAAGTATCGTGTACTCAATCCCACTGACCGATGGAAAGACATATGTATGTCAGATTCGCAGGTGATTCAACGACCTCCTGCGTGAGCACCAAAACAACGTGTGCAATTCGGTGCGTGCAGGGACGTCTTGACGTGCATTGCCGGAGCTGCGGTTGCAACCCGTTCATTAATGAGTATGCGATTTTAGCAGCTGACACGCGATATCATAGATGCGGTAAAGCCCGGTGACAGCCGCATAAACACCCCATCCGTCGCTTTATCACGGCTTTAGCGTGATTACCCGGCCGGCAAGGCTATGCTAGTTGCACGAATTTGGCTACTTCTTTACGTCGGTGGCGGCAGAAAAAGCGCATTATCTACTTGGCTAGTTATGGGCTAACTTTTGTGTTACCTCGATTTGAACCAAGTTATCAGTATATTGTGACGTTACAGTCTCTGGCGTTTGAGTATGTAGACTTGGAACATTGTGGTCAAGCTGTATTTACAGCCGCCAAAACTCAATTTGTCTCTTGTGTATTATAAGATAAACGACTTTTGGATAGTGGATAGGACCTATAGAGGCTTCAGTTTGCGGACCTATTGATGAACGCGACTGGCAACTGTAACTGAAAGTGAGCAGAACAATTAAAAGCGCCCCACGCTTCGTACGCTGCGTACTCATCGTCATCAGAATTCGAATATTCAACGAACTTTCTGTGCTTTTTTTTTCTTCGAATTTTGTAGCGACTGTGGTGCGCGAATATGCAATTGTATCTTTGTCGCCTCATCATATGGCGCATGTTCACTAAGGGGGTTTCTCAAAACCCCTTTATGTCAACATGCCGGTAACAATTTCAATAATGCTTACTATAGTTTGAAAACATGATTTCAAAGTGAGTATACAAAATACATGCAACCATTATTGTGTCGCAGCGCATCCAAGTCAAAGAGCTGCATTAACCTTACCAGAGCCTTGAATATTTATACAACTAGATTTTAATAGATCCTATTCAATTCTTTATGAACACGCCCGTAAAAGCAGAAAATAAAGTGACATACGTTTGTAACTTGAAAAAAAAAAAAAACGCCAGGCTTGCGCGGAAAGCACCGCACAGTCACAGCAAAAGCTAAAAAAGCGGCTTTTCAGAGCCTTTTTCTAAATACCCATTGGGTAACTATACTGCAAGCACACTTGCTTGATACCCATTAGGATATTAATATTAAATCCTTTGGGGTAGTAGGCTGGCATCCGCTATGCTATTTTTCGTCAATCTTCTTAGAAACGTAGTATCGCCAAACATTTGCAAGAAATTTTGTGCCAATTGTTCATGCAGTGGCTGACGACGATGAAGAATTATGCCTGAAGTGCGAATGCGCCACAGTTGATAGCTCAACAAGAACAAGATTTTGTAATGGGTTGGAGCATTGAACGGCTCACTCGTTACGTTATTCACATTATGTGACGACTGGTTGTTTTTTCGCTGTTTTAACACGCTTTTAAAGTAGTATTTACGCGATTGTTTTCGCGACATCAAGCCTTCCTAAAGCAAGTTTGCCAGCAAGTCACAAGCACTGGCGTAGCTCAGTAGTATAGAATCTTGGGCTGGCACCCAGCGGACCCGGGTTTGAGCCCAACTGTGTCGGTGCTAGGTTTTTTTTTTTTCTAATTTCACGCGATGTGGTTACGAATACCAGCAGCGGACAACTGCGCGTGACCCGAGTTGTGATCTCATAACAACTTTCCCTGAAATAAAATTACAACAGCACCTCGAAAGAATCCAGGTGGCGATATTCAATAACCAAAGCACTGAAATTGTGTACTATATTTCAAGTCAAATGTATCGCTATTCTGAAAAGCCACATAGCGAGAGGTATTCTTGGTAATGACTATCGACGATGACATAATAAAAACGGGGTTGAATGTTTTTTTTTTCTTTATATGCGGCTTTGATACAGGAGTGGTATCACCCAACCAGCCCCATTCAAATTCAGGGTTAATGGGTTTAACTGCTCGGACTTTGTCATCGTGAGAAAAGCGAATGCGAAGTGACAACAATTTATACCTCAAACACGTTTATTCTGATTTAGAGGACACTATTGCAGTACTCACATTTTTTGGATACTCACTTTTATTAATACTATTGACGAAAGAGGCATCGGGAGGTTTCTTCGATGCGAGTATATTTGAGGCCAAAAATCATTGTTTTGCGTCATGTTAAGTGGGCTTGACCCATAGCAGCCAAGCTCAACAACGTCTCCCCCCCCCCCCCTCGGTACATTCAATTGCATCAATTGCACGCCGCTTTGCTTGTCGTGCTTCTTTTTTTTGCCTTAAATGCTGTTCGCTGTATCTTTCCCGTAAGCAGCAATCAAGCTTTCTCATTAGGCAATACTTTGTTACAAGGCTAAATGTTAGAACCATTGCCATCATATGCCAGACATAAACTAATCAATCTCCTTGAGCACTTCTCTGAAGATACAGTTTTTTTGTGATGAGAATAGTGGCATCGAGCCTGTGCAGTGTAGTAGCAATGATTTTAGCAAACATAAGTGGGCTGTGTTAAAACGAGAACTTTGGACTAACAGGACACAGAAAGGTATTTCTTTTGCTTTTACAAGAACGAACTCAGTGAAGACAAGTAGTCATCGCTAAGAAATAGCGAATACTTCTTCAATAAGTAGACAAACGTGCATATATGAATGATAATCATGGTATGAACAAAGACATCGGATGGCATAAGTATCCACATTCATCATAGTAATCCAAGTTTTCTGCACTCAGTAGCGATATATTTTTCACCGTCGATGCACCCAACCTCGTCGAGCCTGTGAGTACGAGGCGCGCCATCTTCCCAAAATTCTGTTCATACCTTCCTACAGTCTCGAAGTTGATTGGTCCAAATTTATCATAGGAAAGGTAACTTCTGTGCCTGAAGAATAAGTGCATAGCACTGAAGTTCCTCCAGTCATCGTTGGACCGTTCGAACAAGGTCATGACGATGTGCTCGTGCACTCCAAAATCACACGGAACTCTGTAGACAAGGTGAGGATTCTTTCCAAGAATCTCCTGTGTGGGCAGTTGACCACCATTGTAATACCAAAGGTCCGGCCGATACTTGCGATAAGACTCGTAGTAGAGACGCAAAAACTCGGATCGTTTATGGGCTATGATAATTTGGTTGCCAATGATCCCGCGTGGCGGCCACCCTATGGTTGTTTCGTAGCGCCTGTACTTGTCTAAACTTTTGACGACGTAGGAATCGCTATCGAGATAGATGCCTCCGTACTTTCTCAGAACTCTGATGCGAACTATGTCGGAAGCATGCTGGATACAGCTTATCTCGATGCCAAAAATTGTCTCCGGTTTCTCGACGTAGTTGAGTGTTAGTCGCGGTATGTCCTTGATGTGCTTCCAGTTCTCGCTTCCCGTGGTCGCGCTGCAGTTGTCGCAGTGAATCATCAAAGAGTCCGGTTTTTGCTGGAGCCAGGCTGCTCGAATGCTTACGACTTCGATAAATGACAAAGGAGCATCACCGAGTCTTACAAAATGTACGATGTTTGGCACGAACGTGATGTCGTGCTCCGCTACAGCTATCTGCGGAACAGGCCGGTCCCAGCAATAAAATGCTTGAAGCATCGTGTACTTTGGCTCTATATGATAACGCTTATAGTGTGTAGCTACGCTCAGAATCACCATGAGAACTACGAGGCAACAAAAATGCCTAATCGCGAATCGTTTTGCTACGTAGGTACATAGCTTCATCTTCTACGTTGATGTGGAGGGCACGCGCTGCAATGTGTTCCTGGATGTTGCTCTCCCGTCTTGCTTGGATTTGCTCTTTCTTCGTAGTATTTTGAGTTGCAGACATATCCCACAACCTGCAACAACATTGTTGGTAAGGAGGTAATCAAAATTAAATGCAAGGGTCCTTGTAGGTCATTAGAAGTACAAGATCTTGGACAAAAAAATGGTAACAGATTGCAGACAAGCTTGTAGCTCTGAATTTCTTTGTGGAGCTACGGAAAGTTTCAGAGTAACCAGTTTTTCTTTTTTTAGAGTTTGAGTAAGGATAGAATATTCAGCGAATCGCATTACACTCATGTTTAAACAGTACAAAACAACCCGGAAAAAAGAATTAGCAGTGGCTTAGCTCGGACATACCAGGCTATACGTAGCGTGAGCTGCAGACGGATGGATGGGCGAACCACGAATGAAACATGAATGGATGGATGGACTGTTGGACTAGCGACCGAGTGATCTCACACAAGTCATGCGCCAGCCCTCCAGTGACACGTAGAGATTCCAGGCTTTCGGTGCGCTACCTGTGCGTCATGTGGCATCCATGCTCCTCGCCCTTGAGCAAAACTACTCACCAAATGCCACGCGAGACTACTCATCATCGACCATTGTAGTTTACGCCATGAAAAGATCTGGACATAGGGTTCGCTTCGCACTCTGTGGATGCGCAGCCGTCGTTGCTTAACGAGAGCAAGCCTTCCAGATGCATCCACCATCGCACACTGAGGGATGGCCGAACTCGGGTATGCGAACAGTGTTGCGTTTAGTAAGGCGTCCTTAATTTTATGAAATGCTTAGATTGATCCGTAGGACAAATAAATGGTATCCGAGTAGCTTTATGAGCTGGCTAGCAGGTAGTGAAGAGGCTGTAGAATTTGGTCGCGATAGGGTAAAGAACACTGGTACAAGTTCACTAAACCCACGTTTTTTTTGTTTTTTTTTGCAAATGGTGCTTTGTAGTTTGCTTCAGGAATCTTATCAGTGTTTCAGCTCTGCTAGCGTGAGCTTGAATTCTTGACTACAGAAATTACGTGTTTTAGGAAAGACTTTTCAGGTACACCAAGCACTATGGGGGGCCTGTCTGGGGCATTCTGTCATCGTCACTGGGCGCATCGTTGGCAAACAGATAAATAGCACAGCCTGCTGTAGTATATTGAGAGCGAACTTGCGCCAAAGAGAAGCCGTCTTCCTATAGTTCTTCGAGCGCCCGAATGAGGATATTAAGTGTGGACTTTACTGCAATGACTAGGAAAACTCGATAACACAAGAAGTACGGTGATTTTTGAGCAAGTTAGCACACGTATTGTGTCCTCTTTTCTCCTCGTTGTGTTACTTTGTAGTAAACTTTGCGTAACCCTCCAAGTCACGAAAATTATTACTCCAAGAGCATGCGGAATAAAAAACCACTCGCCAGCTTGAAGCCATCTCCCGATAGGGTTTGTTGTTAGTTGGTTCAAGCTTCTGCCCCTTCCACTCTCATCGCCCTAGAATATAAGGGGAGGCGGTGTTGGTGTAGAGAGAGACAAAGGTCCTAGGATGCGGGTTAGATTTCGACAATGGCGGCAGCATTTAGGTGGGGGTGAAATGGAAGAACACGTGTGTACTTAGATTTAGCCACACGATAATGAACTATAACTGGTTTAAATTAATCCGATTCCTTTATAAATATGCAGTAGTTCTAGAACGTAATAACCATAAATATACCTGAAATGTTGCTCATGTGGTATACGAAAGGCCATTGCAACGAATGCATGCGCACTGGCCATAAAACATGACACAATAATATAAAACATAAAACAAGAAAAAAAACACTATGTACCTGTAACACAAAAAGTATATGAAAACAAACTAAGTGAATTTTTAGAGCGTTTGTCTACACTACACGATTGTAAAATTGATGATTACGTACATTTCTCAAATGAATGTTTGAAATTATTTGATTTAGCAAGATGAAGAAGCGCTATTGTATAGTTTGAGCTAAAAGCAGCGACAGATGATTTTTATTGCAACTGCGACACGAAGATACGAAAAGGCACTCATGACAAAGTATATAAAATAATGGAGAGCTTTGGTACATCGGGAGATTCTTCCGTTAGAGTTAGCGTGTGTCTCAGCACTATATCGTTAAAAGTGAATGCGCTGCTTGCCAATCGGTGGTCTTTTAGTACAGAGAAAGGCACTTCATTTAACAAAAACTCCAGCAACTACGGCGCCATATAGCTATAGAAACACTATATGAACTGTAGAAAACTCAAGTGCGCCACTAAATCGAGTTGACCTGAAGTCACTGTTGCTGCGCCTCCGAGCTGCGTTTGGTTCAGTGTTGCGTCTGACGGCCCGAAACGCTTAGTTTTGTTTCGACATATGCCATAATCGAGTATTCCGCAAGACCCTTATTACCTGGCTGAGCTTGACTTGTGGCTGCATTTCTCTTATCTTGGAGACCAGCTAATGAGTACAGCGTCTTCATTTATGCATGGCTACCGAAAACATGAGCAATCCTGGAGGACAATTTTTTTAAAAGGGCACTCTAACGCTTGAAAACATCGGTGCCGACTGCATTGCTCGTAGTGGCAATCGCCAGAACTACTGCGATCGGAAATGATGCCGGAAGGTTGCCACCATATGATTGGATAAATGTAACGTTAAATGTGATCGTGGCATTGCATCAAAACAGGGATTAGTATTGGATTTTATTTTTTTTTCATTAGCATAACTATTCACTCCAAGCGACAGAGAGTAAAGTTCTCCGACTTTTCCAGCTTTAAAACTGCAAAGCTGGTCAAAGAATGCGCCGAACACCATGTGCTGGAGGAAACGTGCCGGCGACGCTCCGGGCGCCGTTATTTAAAGAAACTAAAAGAAAAAAATTTAAGAGCGTGGACATATATATACGTCATTGCAAAAAGAAAAGTCAGTAAGGCCACAAAACATTTTAGAAGTGTTCGCGAGATGGCTCGTTTCGCACGTGTCGTACCCTCTTCAAGTACCGCATTGTTTGTTACCGTCGCAACAGCGTTGTTAACACGCCGGACGTAACAGGCAATGTCAAGCGAGCTTCCAGTACGGTATAGGGAGCTTGCGCGAATGGCGGCGATGCTATGCACTATGGGTAGGCAGCCATTTTTTCGTCAGAGGTGGCTTGGGAGTGGGGCAGCGCAGTCACGTCTGCGAGCGTTGGCGTATCTTGCAGGCGTCATCGAGTGCGAGTCCAACGCAAATAACTCCAAAGAGTGTCTTGCATGATGTCAGCGTCACTGGTGGACTACACTGCAACGCTGTACCATAAAGACTTCGAGCGGCGGGAAGAAGAGGCAAGAATTTGCTGAATGGGCCCATTCACGCTTCGTGTGCGCGACTGTGTAAGCGACCTGGACTTGTGGCCGCGCGTCGACAGCCCCGATAGTCACGAATTTCTTGTACTGAAAACGAGTTTTATTACGTGAAAGCGGTTGAAGTTGAGAAAGGCCTTCGAGAGCCAAAACTTTGTGACTAGTGACTGGGTGTGGGAGCCGTATGCGAAGAAAGTCATCGCCAACACTGTGATCGTCGTCACTCAAGTACGACGTGTTAAACTGGGGAGCTCTCTTCTCGTGCATGTACGCCGTACTCCACGTAGAACAACAGCGCAGTGAGAGGCGAGCAGGCTTCGCCGTTCCCGGCCATGCATGCGCAGTGCGCGGCAAGGACCTCGCCATTACTCTTTCCTTGAACAAGACGTCGACGGAGGGCTTGTTAACGCACTGTAAGTGATTAACCTGGACAGAAATAAACATCAGCGTCTACGGTAAAAGAAATAAATAAAAAGTTTGCGCGTCTATACTTGAGTGACGACGATCACGGTGCCGGCGGTGACTTTCTTCACCCAAGGCTCCCACACAAAGCCACTCGTCACGAAGTTGTGTCCCTAGAGGGCGCCTTTCTCAGCTTCAACTGCTGCCGGGTAATCAAACTCGCCCGCAAAACGAGAAATTCGTGACAATCGGAGATGTCGACACGCGGCCACACTTTCAAGTCGCTTACAAAATCACCTGCATGCACGAAACGTGAATGGGCCCACTCAGCGAATTCTCGTCTCTTCTTCGCACCGCTCGAGGTCTTTCTGGTACAGCGTTGCAGTGTAGTCCACAGGTGACGCTGACATCATGCACGACACTCCCTGGAATTAAATTTGCGTCACACTCCCACTCGACCGCATCTGCAAGCCACGCCAACGCTTGCAAACATGACTGCACTCCCCAACCGTCTATGACAACAAAAAATGGCTGCCTACCCAGAGTGCATAGCGTCGCTGCCGTTCGTGCAAGCTTGCTATGGGACTTTCAGTTCATTTCATTGGGAAGCCTTCCGACGTCAGATAGCGATGGAAACATGGTAAGGTCAGCCCGCGAAAATCGAGTAGACGGTAAGCTTCTATTTCATTTTATTTTGACATCTCTACGCCGAATAACTTTGCACTGCGTGGCCCTATCGCTGCCATTCTTGCGGCACTTCTATTTTAAGCCGGCAGTGTGCGCAACCAGCTTGAAAATCATTTCAAACTATGAAGTCGTGAACAGCGTTAGAGGTCCTCTTTAGGCCTTCTGCACCTCAAATAGAGTTTTCGTATCTCAGTAACGTAACTATTTCATCGGCAGTATACAGCTGGAGAAGCCTCATTACTCAAATCTAAATAAAATATGACCAGTATTTCGGTCTGAGGGTGTTTAATAATGCAGTCTGACGACCATAAAGATTTTAAGTGGACGGCTTTCGCTTCAACAGGCACCGCCGTCTTGCTCTTCGCACGGGATCTCTTGCGTGCGTTAGCATTGAACGCTGCCAGAAATAGCGTTAGTACGTAAGAACTCGGGCCACGTTAACGTTCAGCATATATGGTCAGATTAGAGTACAGACGATAACGTTAACGCTAAATCGTTGCGTTTGCTGTTTTTCGCTATACTAAAGCTCT